CGTGTGCTCTTCCGATCTTAACCTGAAATATTACAAATTAATAATTAAACTTAATACATATGTAATTAAGAAAAGATAATGATCAATAAAACAATCCAATTAAAAACATTTTTTTTAAATAAAAATAAAAATTAATTTATTCTCAAATAAACGAACAAAAATATAATAAATATAATTGTTTTGGCATCATTAAATTTTCCTCAATATAAAACAATCTTAAGAACAGAAAATTCAGAATCGTAAGATCAATAAAAACTATTAAAATTACGTATTTTTTAATTTAACCACGTAATTACAACATTAAAACGTTTTGTTTTAGATTTTGTTATATAATTTCATAAATATGTACCTATCATGTTCCTGTTACTATTATATTAAATTAATAATTTTATAATTTTGATTGTAGAAAGTTCAAATTAAGTTTGAAGTTTCGAAGCTTTTATTTATTTTTTTGCTTTTAAAACTTTGATTAATTTTCTTAATTAAATTGTTTTATTGATCCTTCTCTTTCCATATTTACATATGTATCAAATTTAAATTACTTTGTAATATTTCAGGCTATTATACTTTCAAATTTTTTAGGAATAATTTCGTATATAGGTACAGTCAATGGCACAAGAGCGTGTTATTTGTTTCTCTTGAAAAAAAAAAAAGATTTTAAAAAACAAATATTAGATTTTAAAGTATATTATATACACTTTGATGCATTTATCTAATACGTCGTCCAATTCCCTCCATTATCGATTAAGGCTTGGAAATATGCATTTTTTATCTCGAATTTTATCTCGTAAGTGAAAACACACTTTTTCTTCATATTGATTTTCATAGCAACCCATACATTTTCAATCGCATTAACATGAAGAGATTGAGAACGAGTCTTTTGTAAAAATGCCATTTTATGTATTCTGTATTTATTGTGTTTACATCCATTTATAGCATAATAACTAAACTGAACTGAAACTTAACTTTTAATGCATTTTAGCCTAATGTATTGCTAATATTAACATCCAAAAATTTTATTCATATGACATCTATGAACAGAATTATGAATAACACGTTCTTGTGCCACTGAATGTATATATTTTGAGCATATACATTAATTCTTTTTACTCCCGACTGCCGCCAACCGAAGATTGGCAAAAACGGAGGGAGTATGCGTTTTTACTTACAATATTTGTAAATTTTCTCAATAAATTCATCATTTGCACGACTGTATTTTTCGAAACTTCGAAGTTTCGAAAGCACCTTAAACTTCGGAAGGTCGAAGTTGACTTCGAAACTTGGAAAGAATTCGAAGCTTCGAAATTCGAATGTCGGAGCCTTCGAAGCAAATCACCAGCCCTAATATATACATACTGAAGTGAGCCTTGGGATAGTGGGGGTGGTGCAAGAGTGATGCGAGAGTAACAACTATATAGCTTGGAGACGTCTGCCTTACTTTAATGATATCATTGAAGCGAGGCAGACGTCCCCAAGCTACATGACTGTCATTCTCGCACAGTCAGCTACCACACGTTTTCTGAGGGAAGGCCCACTTCAGTATGTATATATCTCACTGTAAAGATGTGAGTTACTCATTTGTTGGATCGTCGTTGCCATTAGTTTAGTGAGTTTAGTCTCGCGACGAGGTTCCTCCGAAACGAATGTACACGTCGGTTATCCCGTGCTTCTTACTCGTCACACTGACTCTTACAAGCGGTGAGTGCGGAATACTTTGAGTGAAAATGCATTTGTGCGGTCATACTGTCATTTTTGAGAATATCAATCTTGCGTAGCAAACTTTTTTTTCAATTCAATCTAATCAGAGAAACCTCAATATGTGATTCTAGAGATTTAGGATGAACTACTGTTAATTTTTTTTTTCAATGTAATGCTAAAACAGCATGATGTTCGTTTTTTAACAAAAAATTTTGTAAGGGAGATGTTACATCTATATTCGATGACAAATAAATTTTCGAAGTCGGATCAATTTGCTTATATTGCTGATACTGAATTCGTATATAATATGCCTTTTTTATCTCGAACTTTATCTCAATAAACTTATGTTGATGATCCATGAGCGCGCAAAAGATGAGAGCCGAACTGGCGCGAAAAAATCTAGAAAGACAGATAAATTATTAATATAATGTCTACTTTTCTCTATTTTTTATTTTTCAAATTTATTATCAATAAATGTGTTTAAATGTATTTTTGGAACACAAGAATACTTGATTTTGACGACCCCAATGTTTGATACGTTCGTTTAATCCATAGGCCTACAGACTGCGCTCCCCTATTGAAATCGTTGGATCAACATCAGTGAGAGAGGGCATCTTAAGTACAGTCTTAAAATGTCATAAGCCAATCACAGAGCCGTTAGCATCTTAAGACGTTACTTAAGACAGTCTTGAAATAAAAATCAACTGTGAATACCGGCCTATGTTAATCTTTTAACTTTTGATGTCACGAGACGATTGTGGCCTCGGCGCTAAAGAGGAAGCGCCGGACCGGAGACTGTGCCTCTTTATAATATTAATTCCACCGACGAGATACTATTAACGACAGTCAATCGTCGACAAATTTTTGTGACCATCAAAGAGACTCGAGAAGCCCTAAAGTAATTGAGGAGATATTAGCTCGCGATTATTGATATAATTAACATAAATATTTTAATAATACTTAATACATTATTAAAATCATGATTTTTTTTATTAGACAAATGCTTTATAAATAAATATGCGTACTTTTTTAGTTATTAGTATAAAACAGGCGCGCGCTGCATATTGAATCCCATACATCTCCCAATAATATTTATACCAATTTACATTTTAATTAAACAAATGTTAACAATTTTTGATAAAAAATAAATTTTCAAAAAAAAATTTGCAAACACTTTGCGCGCGGTGTGTATTAGATTCTATTCTATCTATCTATTCTATTCTATCTGTTAAATTTTTTTTTTTATTTATTATCATCCACCACCACCACCCAACACCACCACCCACCACCACCACCCACTACCACCACTCACCTCAACTACCCACCGCCAACATTTTTTATATCATGTGATTTTTAAAGTAAAAAATTTTTTTGGAAAATTTTTTATATTATTTGATTTTTTAAATAAAAATTTTTTTTTATTTATTATCATCCACCATCACCACCCAGCACCACCCACTACCACCACTCACCTCAACTACTCACCGTCAACATTTTTTATATCATGTGAATTTTAAAGTAAAAAATTTTTTTGGAAAAATTTTAATAGTTGATTTTTTAAATAAAATTTTTTTTTTTGAAAATTTTTTATATCATATATATAAAAAACGTTGGTCTAATAATAAATCATAAAATTAATATTATATTATTGGTTAAATTATAATTGTTTAATTTTTAACAGCCACAGTAACTTCTGGAAGAAAGTTGATCTTTAATAGATCGTCGATATTATCGCCATATCTATTGCGCTTGTGCGTACGTAATAAACGAAAGTCTTTTGTAACGAAACAGGTCAACTAATGTCAAAAGAGCACTGGACCATACGCGGCTTCGGAAGAAGCTGCCTATCGGGCCAACGGTCTATCATGTTACAGATTTTTCAGTGTGTATTCAAGTGACAAGAAATGTACTAATTCCCCGGGCAATGCTACTGAAGAGTATTGGGACTACAAGCACGTGTGCTACGGAGACAAGCGCCACTGCATGGTAAGACAAGATAGATTACCTGTTCCTCCTTGCACAACGCGAGCGTCGAATGCGACAACAACGTGATCCTTCTTTATCAAGAGCTGTCATCGTAATTTTGCAGATATATTACGCGCGCGCACACACACATACACATACACACGCGCGCGCACAACATTTTGTTACCATATACATTACGTAGAAATGTAATTGGTCTGCTTTCAGAGAAAAATCGAAATAGTTTCTAGTCTTGCACCACGAGTTTGTGGAAGTGGGATTCTAACGAACGGGACTCGTGGTGAATTTGCGTGCGCGTTTAATACTTGTTACGACCGTAAAGTTCATTGATTTAAATTGTGTTACTTGTTTATCTAGACGAATTAATCTAATTAAACATACGTCTATACACGCACAGACGTGGGTGTGGGATGCGTTCATGAGCGAGCGTCTATCCGTGCATGAGATTACGATTATCTATTTATCAGTTGCAACAGCAACAGTCGAAATACCAGATATATTTTCGATAGAATTTTATCTAATAATTTCTTCTGATTTCTAACATAACAGAAAATGCGCTGCAAGGGAACAATGCAGAAAAAAAACCGTAACGCTGTTCCTTTAAAAAATGTTAATTTTTAATGGAAATGTATGTTTAAAATATTAATTTAAAAAAAATTTCCAATAATCTTTGTATGTATTTACTAGTATTCTGGCAAAATTACTCATACATATATATTAAAAACGTAACACTCGTTATACTTTCTGTTTTTTTAGAGAGAGAAAAGGCTTAATCACACATATCTAGAAAATATACAAATCCACAAAGTATATAGGATATGTGCTTTCGATTTTCTTTTGTGACACAGATCCTTGCGTTAAAATCCGCTGTTGAATTTTCCTACGTGGAAATATCGCATAGGAAATATCGCGAGAGCTCTTAATAATATTAACATAAAGTCACCCAACCCGACTGGACGGTTTGTACTATGACAAAGCAAACAGCCTTCTTTTCGATGTAATTACGAATATCTCGTTGTTGCGCAAAAATCTCATATGCCGAAAGTTTTACTTTCTTATATTGTTTGAGGAACACTCGGTAATACTGCGCACTCGATGAAATTGAAAACAAAAGAGAACACGATGTGACACCGGAACCCGAGCCGTTTGCTATATAAATTTGCTTTATAAATAAAAAATTGTAATAAATATATTTTAATGTATATTAATTCAGTATTTAAATGGCAATAATTAAATGCGTTCATTTGCTCTTTCGGTCGATAGTTAATTGATTTATAATTTTATTTTATGTTATATGAAATATTTATATACAATTGACAATTGACACAATAATCAATAGTCGATAGCCGACGGCTATATATCACATAAATACATATATGTATTGTTTGTTCAAAAATTGTTTTCTTTTTTATATTTTAACAACCATATATCTGGTTTTTTTTCTAATTTTACTTCTTTTCGTCGTTGTTTCTCCATGTAAGAAATTAGAGAAAAAAGAATTATGTTCGCATTTTGAATCTTGCTGATAACGATTTACATACGATCAATATGCAACGCAATCTCATCACTTTCAACAGAGGATATCGATGCTAAATGGCGCCAGGCTCTCGAATAACGCACGGTCGGTAAATTTAAATAAGAGACCGTTCTCCATTTTATTTTTGTCCTTCGCACAGTAGTGGTTTGAATTTAATCTAGTCTCGGAATCGAATATAAAATTACGGTTTTGCCGACAAAAGGTGAGAGCAGTTAAACATTTATGGCACACATAAATGAGACAAACATTTGTAGATCGTAGAAACAGCGCAGAACAATATATCAATTTTTCGCGAATCAATCTTTTCGTTTAGCCTCTCATGTTTTTGATTTAACTATCGCTCTAATATTGCTCCGATTTGAAGACTCAGCTATAGCTGCAGTAGAAGCAGAATTAATATTAATATATGTATTAAGAGCTAAGCAATTTTGCGCTTTGTTAGCTTTAAAAGCCTCGACTCTTATGGGAAAATGTATGCACATATTGGATTAGTGAAAAACTATTGGAACAAATAGTATACAATATTCGATTCGAATGATTTTCCAATTGTTTCCAATAGATTTTTTCGCGAGTCCAATAGTATTTTTTTTCATAAGAAGAGAGTACGTTCATATTTTGCCGATAGCGGCAAATATACTTTGATTGTAGTGGACAAATCCAGCCGCGCGCACGAATAAAAACGCTTTTAAAAAAGCTATTGTAACTTTTATATTTTAAAATATGTATTTATAAATTTTGGAAGAACAATAAAGAGACATAATATATTGATATCCCTTATAGAAATTTAATACTAGAAGGGCCAAATAATTACTTATTTTGAATATTAAAAGCACTAATAAACAGCTTTTAATACTCAAAAAATAAGTGATTACTTAGTCTTTTTGTTATTAAACATTTCTTTAAGGGATTAATAAATATAATTTATATACACATATACATTATAAAGTGTACACGCGTGGAAAAAATTTTGCTGGAAGCAGATTTTCTAAAAATTTGGCTAGATACACAGATCTGAAAAAATGTTGGACCATCAAAATATAACTTTGTTCAAAATTCAAACTAGTTTCTAGAATATCAAAACGTTTTACAACAATGCTCATAATTTTTCCAACCAAGGCTTCCAACGAACAGAATTATTTTAACGGTCCAACAAAATTATTTTCAAATCCATATCCAGCAAAATTTTTAGACCTTCCAGCAAAATCGTTCTTTCCACAATTTAGATTTTTACACATCTCGTATCGTTGGCGAAGTGTTAGATTATGCCGAATATCTTCCGAACGTCGGAGCAGGCAGGCAAATGTCGGAGTGCCGTCGAACGACCGTGGATGACGAGAGGGTGCATTGCGACCAGAGAGCTTTATTGATACTGTCAGGACGGGTATATGATAACGGTCAAGACAGCTTGGAGCACGAGGGCCAGTAGGAGGTCGATTTCCTTGATTATTAGGTCGTTGGAGATGCCATTGCCGACGTTGCATAGATTCGCTTCGCAACAGGAGGTGCAGGCGTAGAGCTTGGTGCGCTCGCCGATCACGATGCACCCGGCTTCGCATTTGTTCGTGCAGTTTCTCTCGAGGGACCACGTCCTCGGTGCGGAGGTCGAGTTCTCGGTGCTGGTGGTGTAGGAAAATCGCTTCACCTGCAACGACACGCGGGCTCGTATCACTCTCGCGTTCTTTTTTTTTTTTTTTTCATCGAGTACGCAGTTTTATCAAGCGTTCGTCCGGGAGCGTGAAACTTTCGGCACATGAGATTTTTGCGCAACAACGAGATATTCGTAATTACATCGAAAAGAAGGCTGTTTGCTTTGCTATAGTACAAACCGTCCAGTCGGGTTGGGTGACTTTATGGTATTATTATGAGAGCTCTCGCGATATTTCTTACGCGACGTTTCTGCGTAGAAAAATTTAACAGCGGATTTTCACGCGAGGATCTGTGTCACAAAGAAAAACCGATAGCGCATATCCTACATATTTTGTGGATTTGTATATTTTATAGATATGTGTGATTGAGTCTTTTCTCTCTCTAAAAAACCGAAAGTATAATAGTTCTCACGTTTTTAATGTATATATGTATGAATAATTTTGCGAGAATACTAGTAAGTACATATAAAGATTATTCGAAATTTTTTAAATTAATATTTTAAACATACATTTCCATTAAAAATTAACGTTTTTTAGAGAGATAGCGTTACGGTTTTTTTTTTAATATTATTCCCGTGCAGCGCACTTTCTGTTATGTTAGAAATCGGAAGAAATTATTAGATAAAATTCTATCGAAAATATATCTGGTATATTTCGACTGCTGCTGATAAATAAATAACCGTGATTCGACGTATCTCACGCGCGTAATAATTTAACCGCATAGACGCTCGCTCATGAACGCAACGCACACACGTCTGTGCGTGTACGCGTATGTTCAATTAGATATTAATTCGCCTAGATGAACAAGTAACACAGTTTAAATTGTCGTAACAAGTTCGCATTAAACGCGCGCGCGAATTTGCCACGCGAGTCCCCCGTTTGTTAGAATACCGCCTCCGCAAATTCGCGGCACAAAACTGGAAACTATTCCAATTTTCCTCTGAAAGCAGGTCAATCACATTTCTATGTAATGTACAGTAACAAAATGTTGCGCGTGTTGTGTGTGTGTGTGTGTGTGTGTGTGTGTGTGTGTGTGTGTGTGCGCGCGCGCGCGCGCGCGCATAATATATCTATGAAATTATGATGGCAGCTCTTGATAAAGAAGGATCACGTTGTTGCCGCATTTCAGCGTTCGTGTTGTATAAGAAGGAACACGTACAAACCTATCTTGTCTTACCATGCAGATTCTTCTGTCGTCCGTGCACTTGTGCTCGTACTCCTGTACTTCAGTGGCATTGAACTGCGTGATATTAATACATTTCTCACCCTGGTTCATAGTGAAGCACCTGTAACACGATAGGTCGTTGGCTCTTTCCGAAGCCGCGTGGGTCCGGTGCTCTTTTGACATTAGCTGACCTGTTTCGTTACAAAAGAACCTCCGTCTATTACGTACGTACAAGCGCAATCGATATGATGCTAATACCGACGAGATACTATCGAAGATCGACGTTCTTCTGGAAGTTACCCCGTGGCAGTTAAAATTTAAACAATCAACCAATAAGATATTATAATTTTATGACTTATTATTAGATCAATGTTTTTTATATGCGTGTACATATATTTACAACTTGTCAATTAATTTTATTTAAAACTGCATTTTTATAATTGCTATAAAGATGATAACGGTAGAAGAAAGAATTATAATTTAGTAGTATTATACGATGTAGCGATCGTGGTGCGAAGAACTGCTCGTCGGCTTTGCCAAAGATTTAGATTCAAATCCACCCAGAACCATGTAACATTAAATCGGTTTTAATCGATTTGGTAGCCGATCGCCACTTCTTGGAAGGTAAAGGCAAACCGAGAGTAACTTTGCTGAAGAATGTCTATACGGCCCGGTTCCACTAATGTAAGATTAACTTTAATTCCGGTTTAACTTACTATTTATCTCTTTCTAAATTTATTTATTTTATTTATCTCTTTCTAAAATTAGAAAAAGATAAAGCGAATTGAACTTCGGTTAAATCGAGTTATGAAACCGCGAATTGTGCAACCGGGTCTGAAAAGTCATTCCGAATCGGCGTTAAAATTGTAGATCCTATATATCTATAACGGATGTATGCAGATATAAGAGATCGCCTACGCGCTGACAAGCGTATGGCACGCGAAGAAGAAAATATATAATATAGGGCGGAAAAGACGCGTTTCGAACACTTCGATAGATGCGAATATCGATTTAATATGCCTTTTTTAGAATAAGGATAATATCTCTTCAATTACCTTCGAGCCCCTCGAGCTTCTTAGAAGGTCACGAAAAGCCGAGGATTGACGGTCTTTAACAGTATCTCGTCGGTGGAGTTAATATTATATCAAAAGTTAAAAGATTAAATGAATTTGTACTAAACTTTGTTTGGAGCCGTTGAATCTGTAGTCTTGCGTTCCAAAAACATTACGTTTAGAGACATATATTGAAAAACAAATTTGAAAAATAAAAAGAAATAGAAAAATTGAGATTATATTTATTACATAAGAGATTACATAAATAATTTATCTCTCTAGATTTTTCTCGCTTTCTCGCTTTCAGTTCGCCTCATTTTTTGTACGCTCGTGGTTCATCGACATAAGTTTATTTGAGATAAAGTTTGAAAAAATACATGTTCTGTATCAGCAATATAAGCAAATCAATCCGATTTCGAAAATTTCTATTTATTTGCCATCGAATAGATGTAATCTTTCGCTCACGAAAATTTTTTTTTAAAAACAAACATTATGCTGTTTTCACATTACACTGAAAAAAAATTTGGCAATATAGTTTATAGGCAACAGTTAAATGTCTCTTCAGAAACACATTAAGGTTTCGCTGATTAGACTGGATTGAAGAAAAATTTTTGCTACGCAAGTTTGATATTCCCAATAATGACAGTTTATATCGCACAATTGCATTTTTTACTCGAAGTACTCCGCACTTACCGCTACCGCTGGTAAGGGTCATCAGTGTGACGAGCAGGAAACACGTGATAGCGACGTATACGCTCGCGTTCATCTCGGAGGGGTCTGACTTCGTCGCGAGACTAAACTAATGGCAACGACGATCCGACGAGTGAGCGGCTCACATCTTCGCGAGATTGGGTTCGCGCGATTCGCACGCTGGGCTTTTGCGCGACGGTCGCGAAAGCGATGCGGTCCAGCCAGCGTACGTACGGCTGGCCGTATCTTCCTCCGCCATGCTGCATGCGGCGTCGACGCCTGCGTCGTCACAGCTGCGTCGGGCTTGCTCCAGAAACCCCGAAAGTCGAAAATCAATATTCGCGACCGGCGAAAGGATTGTCTGCACAGAGCAGCCACGATCCGTTCAACGTCAAAGTCGTTGCGTTCGCGACGTCACCGATCGTCGCCATCAGGACGAACCTGAAGTGACCCGAAGCGAAACGTATTTATTATATACACCTGAGACGAAAGACGCGCATATCCTCTCTCCTTTGTCATTCGTTATCCGCATGCGACGCGCGATCAATCTTAGGGGCGAACGCCTGGGAAACTGTGGGAAACGCGTCTTTCCTGTCGCGTTGACAATTGTCCTTTACCTTTAATCGTCGACGATGATTGTCGACGACGGGGAAGATAGCGTTTCGTCGTGAGTGCAGTCAAATAAAAGCGCAAACGTTCGCGTGATCGATAGGGGCATTTGAGGTCCTTGGAACTTGCGGCGAATCTTTCAGAGTCCGATGTATAATATTAATATAGCCTCTGATGAATAGCCTTTAAATACGTTTTTCCCCTTAAATATTTCCTTATTAATTCGGAATCGATTTTTTTATGTAAAAGAAGTAACAGCTGGTAACAATAACAAATTTTTTGCCTAATTATTTTGTTATAATATAAATTGGTGTGCTTTTTAAAATTTTCTATACGCTCTGGTTATTTAATTTAATACATAACAGCATATATTTTATAAAATACAATTTTTTAAGACATATATATACATATATAGAGCATCAAGGTATAATGTATACATATATACCTTGACGCTATTAGGAGTGCAGGCTAGTGACATCTAGCTTGAAGAGAAGCGATGTGGTAAAATATATGGTAAAGCATATTATAATCCGCGATTCAACTGCTCGATATTATTTCGAGTGATTTTTTATTAGATCATGCACACATATATTTACGTAAATCCATTAGTTACAAAGAGATTCGATAATACAAATCGGCAATAATGGTAATTCGTCTCTCATTTTTTACGAGAACCTTTTATTCTTGAAAATTTTATCTCTCACTCCCTTTTTTATGCAGTCATATTCTAGAATCACCTGCAGGAGCACTTTTCTCACGTGTGCGAGTGAGAGTCATAAAGATTTCCTTTATATCTTTTTCGCTATTTGTAACCGCTGGCGACTTTCAATATTGCAGAGGGTCTTTTGAAATATTTTCGCGACGGCTTTCGCGCAAGGGTGCCCAAGCCACTGCCGGCGGTTACTGGCATTAACATCTCTGTTTTATAACGATTTTTAAGACGATTAAATAGGAAAATAGTTTCCGAGTTTGTTCGAGAGCGGACCGAAGTTTCTAATGGATCCACGCGTACACCTGTGGGATAGCGTTTCGCCACTTTACTACGTCCGGACAGTTGTAGTCTCGCCTGAATTGGTCTCACACACACGCACACGCACACACACACACACACGCGCGCGCGCGCGCGCACGTACAACACTTAGCGATGTCGTCTACGACGATCTAACAATCAAAACTAACAATGCAAAGTTCTGATTGACCTAATACGGTGCGACTCGCGTCACAGTAACGAATAACGTCGTCCGTCAGCGTTGTTAAATAAAATTGCGGGAAAATGTCTATATGTACTATTTTCTTTTCCTCTTTAACTTATTGGCACCAATTTCGATATCCTGTTTGTTTCCAACGTAAATTGATCGGGATAAACTTCGTTTGCTCCGTTGGCAAATTCACTTCTAGTGCGTCTTAATCATTTTATTACGTAACGGCTGTTGGATGTAAAGGAAGGATATTTCGAAACGGGTGTTGTGGAATAATTCATAAGTTTCCGAACGACGTAGTTCCTAATTAATCTTCTTTATTAAACGATCCTTTCGGAGATTTAGTTTGTAACGTTACAATACGCCTTTGTATTTAACTGCGCGTAACCTGCAGTATACTAAAACTTGCGAAACAAGTAAATAATACACTGAACTGCAGGCAGCGAATTATTAAACGCAGAGAACATTAGTCCATAGATAAAATTCTCTTTTATAAAACTCTTTGTGTAAGTATATGCTTTGTAAACCTAGGTAGGTATTATTCTGAATTTTTATGCGGTATATAGTTCGACGACGTTGGTCAATATTTCGCTATACGCAATTGTCAATATTTCCACACATAGCGTTTTCAACCGTTCATTACGCGTTAAAAAAGGAAGAATTTTTTCTTTGATATATAACATCTCCGATAATTTCAGGCGGTACATTCGCCGCACAGTCTATGTTGCACCTGCATATTGCAGGGGTGAATAGCCGCAGGGGAATCGATTTCAGGTTTCCCAGACAGCGACTGTTATGACTTTTACCCGGCGAACGTATACCTCTTTTGATATATCAGCGGGTATTGAGTCGACGTTCAAGGAGACAGAAAGGCAAAGCAAATATGAAATGACCTGATACGTCTCTATAGGAGTGGACACAGAGGCAATACGTTCGAGATATTTTTACAACTAATTTTAGTGCGTCTCATCTTTCGTAAAGTAACGTGTTCTATTCCCATTTACATTTGAAAATCAACGTATCAAATTTTACCTTTTTTTTTTGCTGCTATTTTAATACAGTGATGTCGAACGACATTTAGCTTCTAGTTACCTTGACATATATATTTGCAAATAGCCATTTTATTTATTTAATAAATGATTAATGCGATTATTTATGTTGAGTCACGTATTCGCGATTATCTCCTTTGGAAATTATTTCTCTTTACAAACATTTTCAATTGCAAAGAGGCTTTTGTTTGTTCTCTATGAGGCTGTTATCTACATTATAGACTACCGTTTAAATATCAATTACACACACGGATCGTAAAGATATTCTTTTCAGAGTCAGATTTCACAGAGAGTGAGTGAGTGAGTGAGCGAGCGAGTGACTGAGTGAGTGAGTGAGAGAGAGAG